GGATTCTATGATAAGGATGGCAATGTATTTCTTGTTGATCGAGAAAAACAGGTGATTAAGGTTGATGGTTTTCAGGTAATTTTTCAAACTTTTGAAAGAAATGCTTTTAGATACGCTTCATCTGTGAATATTTCTTTAGGATTGCTTATCTTAACTAATGTTTTCAAATAATAAATCAACAGTTGCACTTAAGTAAAGAATGAAAATAAGACAGTTAAACTTCTGTTACTTTTACTTAGGAACTGATTTTTCTTATGAACTATGAAATTCTTGAATAAAACACTAAGTCTACTCGTTTAGGTAACACCACAAGAACTGGAATCAATCCTATTAACTCATCCATCCATTGCTGAAGCAGCGATTGTACCAGCAACAAAAGTGAATCAACAAGAAATACCCGTAGCTTTCGTGGTGCTAAAACCACGTGTGCCTGCCACTGCTGAACAGATTAAGGAATTTATTAATGGTATATTTTAACTTTTACCTGGAATGCACACTACACTTATTTCTCGATAGGAGTGATTTATGGAGCAAGAACTGATCTATTTTAGTAGAAATTTGATATGATGGGAGAAATTGATGATTCAGCATTACAGGTGGTCAGTCAAGATCATGAGAATATGTTAACTTAAAAATAAATTGCATTATTAATTCAATGAAGAACGGCATGCATGTACGAAAACAGCAAGTTGGTTCGAATATTTGGCATAAAACCATCCTTTCAAAATATCTTGCAAAATATCCATTAATCATTACTTTCATTTTCAGAACGTGTGATGCGTCATAAACAGGTGGATGTTGTTGTGATAGCAATGACATTGCCTCGGTCACCCGGTGGTAAAATACTTTGGCGATTATTGCGCGAGGCTGCTAATAGATACACATAAATTGAATTTCCAACAACAAATATTGAATAATCTTTCTTTTTGCTAGTTTATAATACTAAATTATGAATTAAATCTTCATTTTTATTACTTGAAACAAAGCGTTATTGTCACAGAAGCTCTACCACATCATAGATGTTTACTTTACTTTTTTATAATGTTTTCTCCAGTAGCGGCAATTATAGAGTAGAATGAATAATTCCCATCAAAATAGTTTTGAATGCAAAAGCAAGAAAGTTTTTCATTCTACTGCTAGGATTTATTTCTATCAAATCTTAATAACAGTAACTGGTTGTTTATTTCATTATAACTATATAAACTTACTTTCTCATGGAGTTTCTTCAGATAGCAATAATCATGGTTTTTTTTTTTTTTAAAAAATAGCTTTTTAAAATATTATTTTTTTTGAGTTGAAGAGATAGTCCTTTTATCACTGATTCAGTTTACTTTATTTTTAACAACTATTTAGTTTGCTTTCGAAATAAGCAGCTATTTCAGTTCATTGCTGATAAAAAAAGTGCTCCCACGGGTGAATTTTCTCTATTTTATATATTATATATATATATATATATATTAATATATTATCACTCAGCTTTGTTGTACTATTTGAATTAAGATTGACAATAATTTTTAGCAATGAAAGTGATTTCGATCGAACTGCTCACTTTCATGAGTTGTTACATGCATTCATTTCCAAAAACTGGCAATGCATCACTGTTGCTTTCGATATTTGGTGACAATGAATAATAAAATTGACCGTTGATGTAGTTTGCAGAATTATATTAAGCGAATGAGAGCCGTAATAAAATTAAAATAAGAAATATAACGATTGCAGACATGAGAAGTTCAGATTGTTCTCATTTTTGAACTCTATCGAAAGACTGTATTCCATCTGTTTGGAGATCAATCAGTTCATCTGCTCGGCACAGACAAACTTGTTTTATCGTTGTCGTCATCTATTACTTCTAACTTTAAATCCATCTTTTTGCCTTTTTTTGCCTGTTTTCGTATCTATCCCGGTTAAAAATACGATAAATCAAAATATCTCGTTTTTCGTCGATTACTTTAAAAGTTTTTGGACTGTATTGTTTTTCGCTGGAAATGAATGCTCAAGTGTCACACCATTCGATAGTAATGGTCAGTGGGCTGATGCTGATGCTGTTGACTTGTATTCATTTCTTATAAATTTGCAACATCACATGTATCTCGTGAATCAATCACTTAGAGCAGTTTGGATATTTCAATAAAATTTCGTTTAGGAATTCTACCATTTCAGTTGTGTTGAAAGTTTAAAACCAAACTTTGAAATGATTCCCATTCATCGAATATAAAAAGTGTAAACTATTTCAAAAGAGATTATTATATCTATCTCTGAAGAACAATGACGAAAAGGCAAGTCATTATAAATCTATCTTTTATGAATGAAATTGTTTGATGTCCATGTGCACATTGAAACAAAGGTATTTCAACATTTCAAGCCAATTAATTCAATTTCACCCATTGGCACATAAAATATTTCATATTCTTCAAGCGATCATTGTGCTAAAAATGGCAATTTTCCCACCGATGGATTGCTAAATGGAATGTTTTCTTATTTCTATGAAAATTAATTTTCTTTTATCTCTTGAATTTCTAAAATTATAGGTTTATACTCAGTGAGGTTGATGAATTTAAATTCAAATCATTTAACCCATTGATTTGCTCTTTTTTCCCACTTCCTTTTCTCTTCAGCTATTTTCCCACAAATATCAACCTTAATTTTTTTCTTTTTTTCCAAATACTTTCTTGAATAGATATTTGTGGACTGCTAGTTATTTTCACAAATGGAAGTGCTTGCATAAAATCTGCAAAAATTTAAGGATGGCATACAGTTAACTAGAATCTGCTTTAAATAATTGCTAGCAAAGAGGACCAATTGTCTAAAGGGACAAATGTTGTGCTACCGTTACGATTATTATGATAATTGCGACTAATTAAAAATGAGAAACGTTTATTGAATTACTCTATCTTGAAACAGATACTTTGGTAGCGTCTGATTTGTATGAATCACAGTTTCGCAACAATTATTACTGTTTAAAGAAGAAAAGTCTAAATTGACACTTTTTTGCATTTTCACATTAAAATTTTCAGTTCTCTGCGACAATTCTGAGTCGTCGAAAATCTTCAGCTATATAGTCTTTTTTCACAAAATTAAATTTGTACATCTAAACACTGACTTACTGCTTATTTAATTTAATTGGGCACCTTAAAGGGAACAGTTAATATAAGCTTAACTAATTGTTCCCAGCACGAAATTACATTAAAATAATTTAATGGAGTTTTATGAGATATGTAATCCAATTTTACACATTTTTGGTCGAAGGAATGGAAAATAGAAGAAATTTGAAGACTGTTTTTTTTTCAAATGAATGTTTTGTTTTTTTCCACAGAACATGAAGGTAAGGGAGAAATGTTTATTAGATTTTAATTTCCGTATTTTTGTTCCAGTTGGCAAGTGATTGTGAACTTTTTGTCTTTCATAATTTAAGAACCAGTTCAAGAATTATTACCAGAATGAATTATTACACCGCTAAAATGTTGTAAAATATCTGAAGAGCACTAATACAAAAACATTCAGTTTTTTCCTTGTTTTATGTAATCATTCGTCCTTCAGCACTAATGTATAGTTTAATGTAATGCACTAAGTAAGAACTGTTCAGATAATGAAATCTTTCAATTAATTTTCTTGTTTAATTTCGTCATCAAATAAGAAGTTATGTTATTACAGAAATGATTTAATATTGTGTATAGTCTTCTGGTTTTAAGGTCAAAAAACGAAAATTCTATTTATTTTTTTTACGATTAGAAGAAGAGTAACTTAGCTTGGAAATGCGTTTTTTGAGCTACTTCAAACGATAAAATAAATGTACAAAAAAATAGACATTTGAAGATACAGTGCTCATTATTTATAGACAAAAGAGTTTTTTTGTAATTTAGAGGTTAAATTTAGGAAGTTCAAGAAAGTTTAGGTATTAAACTAATTGGTTTGCTCTTAATACTTATAAAATTCTGAATGCCATTAACTTAGATTAAATATAATATCTTTGGACAGGAAATGCGACAATATCAATATAAAAAATAATAGCAGAAATTGTTCAACAACGAAAATATCTCTTTTAGCGAAATTAAAAAATTCTGTATTATTCAGAATTGTCATTTCACGCGCTATTTATTGCCACCTTTTTACAGTATGTTCATAACTATGTGTTCCATTCTTTTCAGCAATCATTAAATTACATACTCTCAACTTTTTAATTATCAATGCATTTCAAAAAAAAGTCGCGTGTTGAATAAAATTAAAAAACTGGGACTTTTTTAAAGAAAATTCCTTTTTTGTCGATAAAGGATTGCATTAAAGCTTGGTTACATGCATTAATAAAAAGAAGAAATCTCAGCTTCTCATTTTCTAAAACCTTTCGTTATTCATTTTCATCATGCAATCTCATAAACGGAATATTTATTTTATTCTGATATGCAAATGTTTTAAGCATAACCATTATAGAGCGTTTGTATTATTTAATTTCGAAGCCAACGATTAAATATGTGAGTTTGTCTTCAGCCAATGATATCATCGACGTGTTGTTGTCTTTGCTGATTAAGCATTTTATTAAAAAATTTTTAAACAAATCGACTTTTTTGCTATTCTAATATGTGAAGGAAAATATGCGTTAGATGTTTTAGAGAAGTGAATAAACTGAGAGTGATGAATTTGATATTGCGTTAAATGATTTGTTTATTGAAAAATCATCTTCCAGGTGATGAATTCGGATCATACACTTCTAACAATGTTGCTTTCTGCAATTGAATTCGTCAGAGGAGGAACAAATCCAAGCAAATTTTATTCTACGTTTGGAAATGGCATGTATTATCATCAAAGTGATTTTTCTGCTCACAGTAGTTTTTTGTAAGTTTTGTAATAAGCATAATCCATAACCACTCCAAAAATATCATTAGCTAAACAACTGGACTGTTGCTTCTTTAATTCAAAATCAAATGCATAGCATGTTTTTGATTTTTTCTTGGAACTTCTAAAACATTATTTTGTTATACTTAAAAAAAAAGTTAAAATGAGAAGGAATGGATACCTATGATTTTCATAATCATTCATTCTTAATCCATACCGAGAATTTCAAGGTGATTTCGCTCTCAGATGAAGTCAACGTTTCATATTTCACTTACTATACGCCGTGGAAGCATTGGTTCTGTTATAGAAAATTACGCGATTATCTACGATCAGCTGGTGTTGCAAGAAATGACTCGCTAAGGATCATATTAAGTAATGGCAATATTCCAGTTGGTCATTATGATATTAGATATCAATTACATGCTTATGAAAATGTCGCTGAACCGCCCAAAATGGGAAAATTATGCCACTTAAAAGTCTTCGAGATTAAGGTGACATCTTTGCTCACATTGTCATAGAATTAAAACTGAACTTACTTTTATAGTTAATGTTCCACATAAAGCAGATTAATACGACAATACATGTGACTGAAAAAAAAATGATGAAAAATTAAAAATGCAAGTGGAATGGAATAAAATGTGAAGGAATTATAAAGCAACCTGCACGTTGATCATATTACAGTAGTTTCAGTTAAAGGTTACTACTGATGAAGATACAGTTAGTCTTGACGTAAGCACGACATTTCTAGAAATAACAGTCAGGCATCTAGGCAGACATGAGGGGAAAAACAAACTCGAACATCGTGGAAAGTAAAAAATCTCAAAAATTAATAAATAAGCTAATATATTCAAAATTTAAGTCTTCAGTTCTAATTTGTTATTGATTTTCAACAATATAAAATTGCAATTGCTCTTATCAATCGAAAAAAGTTAAAAAATTTTTGAACAAATGCTACAGATCACAATTCCTCCCACATATTTTTTCTCATGAGGAATTGATAAAAGATATCGCATATTTAAAACAATTAATTCACAAAAATATGGAATTACTATTTTAGATGGTAGTAGTCCTATGGATTAATTTTAACCAATACGTTAACCGTGGTAGTTAGAGGTCGACATTGTTGTGGTTGGTAGTACTGGCAACTAAAAGTAAAAAAGCACTCGAATTAAAAAACGAAATAAGTAATATAAAAAAAACGAAATAAGTAAATCTAAGAACACTTGTGATTACAGGAACTAAGCAATATTTTTATCGAGGAATCAGAAAAGCCAGTGAATCATATTTATTGGATATGTCCATCCTACGCTTGGTGTTGTGGTGCGGAATGCTGCCAACATTACTACAGGTAAACTTCCTAAGATCACTCACAAATTTTTTCATTTAGTTTCGAACAAAATCTAGAAAAATAACCATAGCGGGATAACGGTCATAGATCAGTTCGGGAATCTGATTTATAAATATCTTTTTCTTCTTTAGAACAGGGAAGTTCTCAAAAAAAAAATCGTTGGTTCAAGTCTCATAACCAGATTGTCATTTATTAATTTCGCTTTTGTTTCGTTTTTCAGTTCCTCTTTTTCTTAATTTAACTTTCTAAGTTTGATTTCTTTGTGAAAATATGATAACATGAAGCAATACACATAATTTATAGAGATCCATGGCCATTACTCGGACCAGATTTTTATGAACTAATTGCTGCGGCATCAGTTTTTGCTAGTCTGTTGATCATTCCTGAACTGTATCGTCGATGGCGACAATGTAAGATAGATAACGAATCAGTGCTGACAGTTTCTGAGGAGAATTCTGCGCAAATCATAGAAGATCCAGAAAAGGCACACTTCATAGTATAGCATGCCTACATTGGAGTGCAGACTTCAGTATTTTAGGATAACAGGGAACTTGTTGCTAAATAGCTGTTCTAAGTTTACGCTCCAGGAAGGATAAACATTTCTATTAGCTTTTGTTATTGCTGAGGCATCTCGGGAAAATCAGGAATTAAATAAACTAGAATTTACTCGACATCATTCAGATCTGATGTAGAATGGGAATTTTTCATCGAATCTTGTTCCGCTAGCCAGTGAGCTCATTGTTTCAACGAAGGACTGTGTAATAAATAGGCGATCGCAGAATCAGTCTTCAATATGTGTCAACAGTCTTGAAAATATAGAATTGAAGCTGTTGCTGGTGGGAAGTATGAGTGAGAGGTGGGTCAGTTCTTTCAACTCTATTACAAGAGCGCGGAAGTGTGGGAGTATTTTCACCGTAAATGAGTGAGTAGTGAAATGATAGAAGAGAAATAAAGCGGCTTTGGAAGAAGTCTTTAGATGGAAGAAAAGCTGATGTTACAATATGAGGAAGGAATAAAAAATGTTATGCAAACAATGAAGTGTATAACGATGAAAATGAGAAGTTTAGGACAGGTGAGTGTCGCATGCTAATTAGAAGTGCAGGCGAAGTGACATGATAATGTAGTACTGATGGTGGGATGGTAAACGAGGAGGTTCAGTACAGTCCACATCCTCGCAAATTGGCCTGAATGACCATATCGATAACACTGTCCAAAATCATTTGCACTTGATTCGTATCTGTCGCACATGTTTGATGTGTGTAAATCGTTTTTTCTGGATTTGCATTTAGAGCCTCGAACTTCTCTTCGATAAATCGTACCGAGTCATCATAGGTTTGCGGACCTTTAAACAAGATTTGTAATGGTTTTTAATCTATGATACTCTCCGAATTCTCTACAATTTTTTCTTCTCAATTCAAAGTTCCTTTAATCAAACGACACGTTCAGTCAAATCAAAAATTAGCAGCTGTACCGAAATGAAATTATAAAATTACTTGAAAAAGATTTCCTTAATTACTCTTAATTCAACTTGTTCGTGTTCTTTCAAGTGGATAATCTGTTGAGAAAAGCAAAAAGTCAATTTGAAATACTTCATTCCAAAAATTTGGATTTAAATACTAAGTGGACTAAACAAACCGTTATACTCGGGAAAAGCAATTTTGATCGAAACCCGTTTAATCTTCTCAGCAAATAAATCTTTTTTGTTCAGGAACAAAATTATTGATGTATTGATAAACCACCGACTATTACATATCGATTCAAATAATCGTAAACTTTCGACCATGCGATTCTGGATGAAAAGAAATGTCTATGATATTAGAAAAACCTTGATCAATTATTAAGCCATCAATACACACTATTTTATGACTGACCGCCAGAATTATTTATTATAAAAAAACAGAGAGAAAAAAAGGGAAAAATTGATTGCTCATTTTATTGTCTTCTTGCCATCTATTAGTCAGAGGAAAAAAAAAAGAATTTCACGAAGCTAAAAATTAAAGTAAGCAGTCTAAGTTCAATTATTTAGATCGTCTATTTCGAAATATAACTGTTATCACCATCTTTAGATGCTCCGAAGCTGGCATTATTTAATTATCAAATAACTTTCAATGATAAAATAATGATGCTCTAGATTTAGAAGTGTCAGATACCAGTGTTAGTTTCAAGCTTGAACTTCGGTCTGCGCAACGTTTTATGATTAATAAGTGGTAAGAGAAAGACTAAACTGAAATATAAATTATCGTTTAATAACATGGAAGGCTAACAAAATTAGGCTAGCAAATAAAGACTTAAAAAAATTTTTAATGAGTAACATAAAAATGTGGGAGTGTGCACACAAAGTGATAAATTGCGATAATTAAATGACAAATAATTAAAATAAAATTCGTCATAAAAACAATATAGTAGAAGAACGGAAGGTTTGTCATAAAAACAGTACAGTAGAAGAACTGAAGCAAAGTAGGAAAGAAAACTTTACAGTTTTAGGCTAATCGGTTTTGCTAAAAATATGTATCATACATCTCTGTTATATTTCCATGATATAATTTTGATCAAATAAGAAATGACTTTGAGATGATTGTTTTACTACGGACGCATGATAAAACAACTTGATGCATATTTAATCAAAGAAGTATTAGCATATGACTATTGCTAAGGAACTTTTATTATTACGAAGAATTCAATAATTCAAAATATCATTGACAAACTATCCGGAATTCGGAATATTTGATGATTGTTTTACTATGGAATAGAATTTCAGATTCAAATTTGTCAAAAAGAAGAAAAATATCTATGATTCCTTCTTATCTCCTCTCTTCGATTTTTTTTTTGAGAATACGAAGAGAAAGAAGTGTGGAAGTCGATTTTCATTTAAAATTATAATCGAACCGTAAAAACCATTTCAGTGAATCGATGAATGTGTAATGTTACACATCATCATTCCTTTGCATAACTATATCGAGATTTTTGATTTTTATAGCTATAGAATAATTAAATTAAATTATTAATTTCTGGTCTATGCACAAATTTAACTTATTTTATTCATAACTACGATCTCTTCCGAAGTTATACACAAAATATTGTCTGAGTGGGACTAATTTTGTCCAACTAGTACTACAAATTAATTTATTGTGTCAATCCCTGATAGCATATTTCTTTATTCTAGTTGGTATTTTTTTTTTGTTGCTGAATTTAATCTGCAACTTCTCATTCAGTGCAGGAAATGAGTTGGTTAATGTGAACGGGTCATTATAATTTTGCAGAGATTTGGTGTCATTTGTTTAGAAAAGAATAATTATGGAAATCTACTGCTGCGAAGAAATATTTCTGCAATACATTCTTTTCCATATATACTATTTTATCTAATTATTAAATTAACTGATTATTTTGCTTATTTTTGCTTGTTATAAATGAATTTTGGTTTAATTTGATAATTTGTTCTGTTAATGAAAATAAACGTTTTGATATATTTGCTCCCAAAAACACTGCACAAAAAAGGAAAAAAAGAAATTCAGATTTTATACACATTAAAGGAAAGAAAAGTTATCATAATTAGAAGATGCTGATATCTAGCAAAAAATTAATTAATATAAAAAAATAGTGGGAACTTTTATGAAAGACGAAGAACAATTACCGTAGTTTCGTCCTCAAAAAGCACTTGATCATACTGACTAATTGCTGCAATGAATATAATTGCATTGACATCTTCAAAGCAATGAATCCATTTCTTACGCTCCGAGCGCTGTCCGCCAACGTCAAAAATTCTGAAAATTATTCTAACAAATCAATGAAAAAAAGTTTTGAAAACATAAAGAACATAAAAAAAAAAAAAAAAACTAGAAGATTAATGAGCAATTTTTTCTTCTGATCCAAATTTTGAAAGAAATTTATCTAATTTTTTTGCATTTCAAATATTGTTTACTATAAAAAACGATAAAAGGAGAGGTTCAAATATATTATTCAGTTCTTGAAGCTAAACAAAAAAGCTACTATGTAATTAAATGAAAAAAAATGGTGTAAACGGCTGGCATGGAAACACTTCAAAATGAAATTTGTGGAAGAAAGTTATACCGAAAATCAACATTTTTCATTTTGAATTTCACTTCCACAATGCCTGTTGTCTTAATTCGACTAAGTAAAATATCTTGTTCGGTGGGTTTGTAGCCCGGAAATGAAACTCGATCCACAGAATCCAGAAAACTGTAAAACAATCATCTTCGAAAACATTTTTGCAGAATTGCTTGCACATATTTGTTTTCATTTTTAGCAACAGATTTGTCAACTTTTAAAATACCGTGCAAAGCTTTGATTATTTATTTGTATTGATAATAGAATCACTGAGATATTAAATTATAAACATGTGAGTAGGTGTTAGTTTTCACTAAACTACTATATTAATATCGACTTCATTTATACGTCAATATCAGTTAATGTATCCTTCGATTTATTTTGCACATCCTCAAACACCATTGATCTCTGGTCTTAGTCCTAATACACTTGAAGAAAAGCCTATTGCAAGCGAAGGAAAATATGATCCAAATCAGATATGTCATATTTACTAAGCGGTAGATTCTGCCATCTGAAATTCATTTCCACGTTCGTATGCATCCTTACAAACTCCTTTATCAGCCCATAAATTTTTCAGCGCCGCAATTAACGCAGGTGTCAAAGGTTCTGATTCGCTACCTGATTTAACGACGTCCATTACAATGCGAGCATCAGCCTGCAAGACCTTCTGAGAAATTAACTTTTAAGATTGAGGAATTTTTGTGAAATAAATTGGATCAAGAACAACAAAAAAAAATACTGATCCTTTTTATTTCAGTTCGATCAAGGCTATTTTATTGAAATTCAAAGTATGTGTCTACAAAAATTTCATTCTTAATGCAAAATCAAAACTTGCAATGGAATGAAATTAGTTGAAAAATTTTTTGGTTGCAAACGTACATCTCGTTCAGAATTCTCAAATGGAATATTTAGCTTTTTCATGCCTCTTAAAATAGAAGCCATTCCTTGTACTATATTGTTGTAAATCACTGTTTTCTGCTGATTAATTTCCTCATCAGTGAATCCATGAGCGTGTAATAATCTGAATAATATAATTTTATTTAAAAAGACACTCAAATTTTCAAAAAAAAAAAAAAAAATAAAATAAAACATAACGGTTTGAATAATAGAAACAATTTTTGAGCTTAATTTTGAATTTAAAGTCAATTAAATTACCTCCATATAAAAGAAAACATATCTTTAACCTAAAGTTTTGCTCATTAAAGGTCATACTTTCGTCCTTTGCTAAAGGTTATAATAGAGGGCGTTTCACAACTTACCTCATTTGTTTAAGAACTGTACTCTTGCCGCATTCACCAGGTCCTGAAAACTATTCTAATTATTGATTTCATGATATCATAAAATGCGAATACTTTAATGAATATTTATTTACTTCTACGACTTCTCAAAAACACATTATAACTATAATTTTTATGTGCTTTAAAATGGTTCATTTTA